TTAGCAATCACCACAATAAAATCTGTACATGTTAAATCCATTTTATGTAATTATTTAAATTGTAATAGTTTATTTTTTCACTGTACCTACAAGCTCAACACATTTTATAGATTCCTGTTTGAAGAGGTCATTATCCTACCAAAGATATAAAGATCAGATCATTAAACTACAGTAGCATGTAGAAGTATGAAAACTGAATATGAAGTTAAACTTCCTGCGTTCAGTGAAAAATCCCCCAAATAGAAAATAAATTTGCTGATCTGGAAAAAGAAAGCGATGTTTGAGAAAAAAATTATTTAATTTTTTTATTATTATTATTTAAAACAAACTTTAGAATATATCATTCCTCTGACCTGAAAGAAAGGCGCACACTTTGAAACAGAAATACAAAATCCGTACATTAGTTCGATCTGCATTTTTGCAGTGCATGCACACTGCCTACCGCTAATGCATACTAAACATGGCTATGCATAATACATAGGCTAAAAATAGACGAGTGGAATGCTAATTGGCGATAGGGCATCGCTATGGTGGGTGCTAATTGCAGTCATAATGTTTACAGCACAAGGAATTAATGATATTTTTACTGCGAGTAATTGAGCCCGTTTTGGTCCGGACATGTGACGAAGACGACGGCTCCAGTTTCCCTCACAAAGGAGCAACCGGTGGGGTGTGTGACGGTCGGGGCTTTGAACAGGCCGGCCTGACACAGACATCAATGAGCCAGGTCCTCCGGGGCTGAGGACGGGCAATAATTAATCTTCCCTGACATCATCATCCTCATTGTCACCTAGCAACTGTCCACTTAGGGAAGCGCAACAGAAGCCTATCGGGGGCTGCCCAGAGTGTGTGTGTGGGTGTGTGTGTGTGTGTGTGGGTGGGTTTGCGGCGCTAGCTGACTGCAATGCAAATGCCACTATGATCAAAGTGACGCCGTCAACCTTTTCCACATCCACAACAGTATTTACCTCATTAAATTTACAAGAAAGTAAAAGTTAACACAGAGAGAGGTGGGGAAAAACAAAGTACATATCTAATTTCAAACGGATTTCTGAAACAAATCAAGCCTCGGTTGAACAAAACCGCGCAACAGCGTCATTATTTATGAAACCAAAATCAAGCGGTAATGGAAAAGCTGTGTAGGAAAACAATGCCCCCCTCCATCCCCTTTACCCATTGTGCTTAAGCAACTGGGCTCTGTTAATCACACGTGCTTAATTAACTGATCAGTGAGGGTTACTACCTCTATAGGAGATGGAGCTTTGGCCATTTACTGCTCTGGATTATACAGATGCGCTTTAACACAATGCTAAAGGAGGGAAAGACATTAGTGATGCCTTCAGAGAAGAAACTGTTGCCCATCTATCCGGGAAGGGTAATAATGCAATTCTAGACAATTCGAATGCCATTATTTCACAGTGAGATGCCTCGTTCACAAGCGGAAAACGTTTCCCCAGAAGTGAATGTCCCAACCTGTCCATCCTAAGATCAGGCTGAGAAATGCTCAGATAGATAGTAAACCCACCGCCCAAAAAAAAAAAAAAAACCTACATCTACGTGTCCACAAGACTCAGTTAGCATGCTAAAGTTCAAAACAGAACAATTAAAAAAAAAAAGACTGAACTCTTAAGAGTAAGTCTTTAGGGTCATGTAGTTGCCTTCGAATGATCAATCTGACTGTAGGAGCAATGTCCTAAACTAAAAACAAAAAACAGTTGTTGGACCATAATGCATTGCACCAGGTTCGGGTAAAAACTAAACAGAATATTAGCTGAGACTTCTCATCCCAACTGTGGTGGAGGAGGAGGGACGGCTTGCAGCTAGAAAACTCCATCGAATGTCTTCAAACATCACAGACAAGGTCATCCGTCCAACAGCGAAAGCTCAACCCACACTGGATAACGAGTGAAACAAATGACAAAGAGCAAAATACCACAAGAAAGAATGGCTGGCCGACTAGAATTAAGCAGAAACAACTTTTCTTACCCCAGCGCAGGGGAACTTGGGTGCACCAATGGTATGTGAAAGCATGCATGTTCAAACAATGGTACAGTACGTGTATATTTATGGACAGAAAACAGCAAAGGACATTAAAAAATGGATGTAAACACTTCCTGAGTTTGTTTGGAGGAGTGATGGCCGTAGACTCAGCTGAGAGGAAGGATCTACAGTAATGCTCGTTTGTGCAAATAGGACGAAGCAGTTTGTCTACAAAGGAGTTTTCTGGTTCTGCAACAGCTACATTCATGGTTGGATCTGTCATTGTCTGACGGTGACGTTATTTTAGACAGAGTTCCCCGACTACCTGCACTAGACGGAGGGGAAATCCCAGGACCCAGCTGGCCTTCCTGTTGAGACCTTCAGAGAGCCGGACAGAAAAAACAAATACTGGCAAACCCTAATGAAGTGGCAATGCTAGAATAAAGTATAATAACTTAACCCTCCAATTCAACCTCACACTCCTGGATTAAGCATTCAACCGTAGTTGAGCATCAAAAGATACAGCGCTCACACCTCTGGTCATCTCCTGGGTATTTTATCATTTATTCTTATTAATATCAACACGCATGAGCGGCTTTGAGTCCTTCACCACTGCGCTGATCGTTCAGGGAATGAAGGGGACAGTGAACCAAAGCATGCCCTAAACGTTTGTTTGTTTTCTGTCTTGTGCAGGCAAATCCATCTTCTGGAGGGAAAATTAAAACAAAGGCGGCATTTAAATAACTTTCATTAAATGTTGATGGGCTCCATTACCTCCACCAATCACCTGACCAGATAAAAAGAGAAGCAGTTGTCTTTTTTTAATGTCAATGTGCATAACACACACACACACACACACAAAAAAAGGGACCAACCTGGGAATATTACTCAGACTGAGATGCCAAGAACATCTGCTGGTACGACAGCACCGCCTAACTAGTATTTTCTGCCTCAGTAACAGGCAAGATTAAGTTGTCAAATAAATAATACTGCTTTCTGGTATGCACACTATGCAACACAACACAATCCCAGACACACACACACATCACGCTGCAGACACCCCCAGCTGAAACAAGTCGAGACAGTCTGCAGATCAGGAAAAAGTTTTAAAAGTAAAGTAGCTCAATGGCTTCAGATGCCGTAGACATACAGCTTATGTACGGTAAATGTGTTTGTTTCCATATGTATACATTTGTCTATGTGCAGGTGTACATATATATATATACATCCACTTACTAGCAGCTTTATCGGACATGTTGCTAGTACAGGGTCAGGTGTCCTTGTTCCCCAGTTCTTCGTGGCAGAGAATCGACACTGCAGGAAACATTCCTCATAGTCCATATTGAAATAATAGCATCACACTTTTGCTGCATATTTGCCCCAAAGTGCTCTAGTTAGTTGAGATTTGGTGAATGTAGAGCTCATTGTCTTTTGTTCAAGGAACCAATCAGAGATGGTTTGAGTTTTTCAGCATGTTGAATTACACTGTTAGAAGTGATGATGCAAGGTCATAAAGAAATAAACGTAGTCAGAAAACATATTCGGGTAGTTTGTGACTTGTAAGCTATGTCTGACTTAAACTAAGAACCCAAAAGTGCACCAATAAATAAACCCCCACATCTTAAGCCATTAGCATCAGCATGAACTTTTGATATAAGACAGGATAGATCCATACTTCTCAGTTGCTTGTGGCAAACTGTGACCCGGGATGTCAAAGCTGAAATGAAGACTCATCACACCATCTGCTATTGTCCAGTTCCAGCTAGGCTTTGTGGATTGCTTCAGATGGTGTTCTGCACAACTGATTATTTGAGCTGTCAGCCCATTCACCTCTGACCTGAACAACTGGATATACTCTCTTTTTTGAACCATCCATCCATCCATTTTCTAACACCTTTGTCCTTAGTGGGGTCGGGAGGGTTGCTGGTGCCTCTCCAGCTAACGTTCCGGGCGAGAGGCGGGGTCACCCTGGACAGGTCGCCAGTCTGACGCAGGGCAACACAGAGACAGACAACCATGTACACTCACCTAGGGACAATTTAGATAGCCAACTAGCTACCTACCCACCTGTCTAGGTGGGTAGGTAGCAAGCTAGGTGGGAAGGCATGACAGGTAGTCAGGTAGGTAGATAGGTAGGTAGCCAACTAGGTGGGTATGTAGCTCGCTAAGTAGGAAGGCATGTAGATAGTTAGCTAGATAGGTAGCTGGCTACGTGGGAAGATAGGTAGGTAGTTAGCAAGGTAGGTAGATAGATGGGAAGGTATGCAGATAGTTAGCTAGGTGTCTAGCTACCTAGCTAGACAGATAGGTAGGAAGGTAGATAGATGTCGTAATTTTTTTTGTATTTTTTACCCACCTTGCTATCTAAGTAGGAAGGTAGATAGATAGGCGTCTTTATTTTTATCCCATCCTCCCTTCTTGTAGAGAAGACTTGTCCTAACACCAAACGGCAACCAGACTCCTCACACCGTTAGCCTCAGCTGGCAGTACAAGACATGCTGAACAGAAACTGTCCATGGCTCAACAACAACTGGAAACTGCAGATGGCAGTGCACTCAGGTAAAAGACAGTGACAGAGTTCTTCTGCGTGTTTACTGCCGGAAAATTGGGGAATAACAGCCTGTCATACGGGGACACATCAGCCTTTGTTAAAGAAATTACTTTGCTCTTCACCCAGCTCTCTGATGCCGGGCCTCATGCACAAATTGTCCATTTGGCGAGTGCAGTCTAAATGGAACTGCGTCTTCGCCATGTTGCTCCACCACAGCACAAAGAGGCCGTGGCAGATAGGAATCCAATTATCCGAGGCAAATAATGGATGTCTCATTTAAGATGTGCGACTGTTGCAGCAGTAATGGCAATGGCACAATTTTCCCAAAGCCAGTCTCTATCAAGCGCATCACGGTCTGTTCAACACTAACTCATATACATCCGCGTATGGCGAGAAGTCAATCTCCGCAGATCATAATAAATCTTTCGCCGGCGCGGGAAACGCGGTGGAAGAAAGAGTGTTTACTCACATGTAACGCAGGTGTGGGTTCTGAGCGAAGGCTCGAGGCTGGATCACCCGCAGATTACAATTCATGATGGTCCTGAGGAGAAAAAAAGAGATAAAGAACAGATATCAAAAAAATGACTGGATTTACTCTTTCTTTTCCCCTCTTTTTTTATGCGGACATATTCAACTCCAAGCACAGATTCTCATTATGTCGCTATCACATACACAGCGGGAGGGCGGCTGGATTTCTCATCCCTTATCCAGATTTTCTTCCATCATTTGGTACGGTTTTCTCCTTTTTCTTCTTTTAGTTTCAAGACAGAAACATATAGAAATGTACGTAAAAAGGATCTCCTCTAGAAAAATAACCTATGTCACCTTACAGACGTTCACGTAAAAAGAGAACATATCTCAATCTTTTCTTCGTCTTCACATCCTAACCTCAACCTGCGTGCGCATCGTGCCGAGCCGAGTCGAGGACCAAACAAAAGTTCACTTTGAAGCACCCTGTGGTGCAAAGTTTGCAAACTACTCTGTCTTCCATGCAAACGGAGTGAAATTCCTCGCCGGAGGAGCAGGCTCTCTGTCATTGTGCTGACTTGTATAGGAGTGAAATAGTAATGAAATTAAACTAATCCCCAGTCTGCCAAAGGAGACCCAGTGGAATTCCCACAAGGGCTTTCTGGATCTCCCAGCGCCGCAGTACGGGAAACACTGTTCTCAATTGCAATTGTAATGACTTCTAATCTTGTAATCACAGATGCCTCATTCCAAAGAAGTCCTTGACATCCCTGACATCAGCGAGTGCTTCATAAAGCACGGAGCTGATTGCACCCAGCTGCTGGTGCCAATTACCTTCCCGCCCCCCCAAAGAAGATCAAATCGTGCCATTCTGGAGATTTGCCGTCACACAAACGATCCAGAGGTCATTAGGTAGGTTTTTAGGAGAATCCTACAGTATATTCTACAGTACAAAGTAAAATCTGACTTTTTCCAACAATTAAAAGCTGTGCCACCATGGTAGGCCACCAAGATCAGGGATTAGATGACGTTTATCAGGTATAATGAATTGTCAACACCAGTTGCATTAACGATGTGGTCATAAATGGTTTAAAGTTCTGGATGAACATATTTGACTGAAGAAAAATCTGAATTTCTGGATGCAGGGTTTCTCTCTCTATACTTTTAATACACTTTTACAAACGATTGAGACAAGGCATGAGCACTTTTACCCCGTAAGAAGGTTACCGTTTGAAAGCCACACTTCTCCTGTGGTTCAGGTCCCTTTACCAAAATGCCAAACAAAGTTTTAGAGTTTGCACCTGTTTTAGCACAGCACAACTCAGAATCATTTCTCCTGCTTACAAGGCAAAAAGGTTGTTTTTTTTTTAAGTTGCTTTATAAATCGATTGACAATAATGACCAATGTGTAAATGATGAAGGTGGGTTTGACAGATAAAAAAGTTCCAGCTAACCAACAAACACAATTTGGCCTTGGACAAACTTGCCCAAATCTTTGCAGTTTCCTATTTTTCTTTCCTCTAAAACATAAATATTGATGGGAAAATTGTAGCTCCCTGTTATATATATACATCACCCACAAACATGTTCATATTAAGTGTCAGCAGTTTTAATTAGTGTTTGAGGTAAGCAATCCAAACTTGACACATGGGAGCTTCATCACTTATTGTTTTACTGAAAATAATTCTCTTTTTTGTGTCAAGTTTTGGCAGTAAAGTTGTAAATAGTTGATAATTTGTGTTTCCTAGTAAAGCTGTAATCTAATTAATTGATCCTTAAAGAGGCAGTATTATGTAAAATCAACATTTTTGAGCCTTGTATCATGTTATGTTATTTTTTCATCATAAATATACCTGGAGTGTTGCATAGACTCTTTCAAAAATGTTTAAGAAATCCTTTAATCTCTATGGCAACCATTCATCTGGTCAAAACACCTGGATGTTTCTCCTTCTCAGAGCTGCACTTTCCAAGTCTCCACCTCACAAGAAAACTCCTCCACTTGGCTCCTTCAGACNAGCCAGTAGCAATTAGCAAACACCTGGTGGAACTGTACATGTACTGAGCTCATTATAGGAGCTACTTATTTGGTACAGATAGCATTTTTATAAAAACTGAAGGTAGCAGAGTTACATGACTGTGCTATGAAATGGCCCTATGTGCAGGGGCGGATCTAGAAAAATATTTATGGGGGATTTTTAGGGGTGGCAGTATAAGCCCCTAAGCTTATAGAAAGTGGACTGACCCACATTACTTCCTGTCTAAATTTAGAAAATAAATAAGAAAAATAATAAAACAAAAA